ATAGGACATAACGACGGCCCTGCATGCATGCATGCATGCACCAGATAGGTTTTTAAAAATACAACCGCCGCCAGGAAAGTGAACTGCAAGAAAAGATTCCCTCACTTGCACTTTCTCCCATTCCCTGAAGATTGTGGGAATGCCTAATTGCTGTTGCTTAGTCTTGAAGCAAGTCCCTCCCGACATCTCCCGAAGGAGTGCCAATACATCAGACTTCCACAGTACATGTCTTGCACAGTGTCCTACTGGTAAAGTTTTTTACGGGGAAAGACGGCCATGCCTTTATCGGAGACTTGCCCCTATTTTCCATGTACACTTTTTCTACAAGACTGCAGTCCTATAACACGATGTGTACCCACTATACACGCATGTAGCGTGCCTTTCAAAATGTGCGCTTATAGTAGAGAAAATACAGCGGGAGGAACAAGCCGGAAATTTCTACTGGAGAAGAAAATCTAATATTCTAGCCGTCCCGAACCCCGACCCTCTTCGAATGATACTAGAGCGCGTTCTTATTTTCTCTTGGAAGTCGAAGAAACTGGGATAATAATTATAGGAACGGGTCATAAAGAATTCGGAGATCTTTTGCAAATGTGAAGCGCCAAAGAGGCCACAATCTTCAGTGACATGAACATAGTACCCACTGTGCGTATGCGAAAAGGGATGTCAAACACTCATGGTCAACACGTGGCTTAGCCGTAGTTCGCATGCGTTGACTCCAAACCGCGGGAATCTCCAAGTTTCAACCACCTCTGAAGTTCGGAGAGCTTTGGAGAGTCTCCCAAAACGCCAAGATGATATTATAAGAACACTTCTCGAACTTTCCCGAGAGTCTCCAACTTTTCCGAGAGGATTTAAGAACGCACCCTTATAGCCTATCCTGGCTCTGAACTTCACACTTGTTTGGCAATGGGGTTTTTCAACTTTTTTGGCTTGCTTATGGCTTCACACCTGTTCAGCAATGGTTTTTATTGGCTTTCTAATAGCTGAACTCTTGTTGTTTCTGTTTGCAGAGAAGGAAAACAAGCCTGAAGTTTCTATTGGAGAAGAAAATCTAAAATTCCGTTTTTTGGCTTGCTGATGGCTGAACTCTTGTTGTTTCAGAGGAGAAACAAGTCTGAAATTTCTATCGGAGAGGAAAATCTAAAATTCTAGCCATCCCAAACCCCGACCACCATCCCCTCCTGGAATGATTACTTTTATAGCCTATCCTGGCTCTTCACACCTTTTCTCCTTCTGAAAGGAGAAACAAGAGTTCAGGCTTCAACAAGCCTGAACTTTCTACCGGAGAAGAAAATCAAATCCTGGAATGATTACTTTTAAAGCCCATCCTGGCTCTGAACTTCACACCTGAAATGATTGGTCAACCACCCTCAGCCAATTAGAGTTCAGCAATGTTTTTTTGGCTTGCTGATGCCTGAACTCTTGTTGTTTCTGCTTGCGGAAGGAGAAACAAGCCGGAAATTTCTATCGGAGAAGAAAATCTAAAATTCCGTTTTTTGGCTTGCTGATGGCTGAACTCTTGTTTTTTCAGAGGAGAAAAACAAGCCTGAAATTTCTATCGGAGAGGAAAATCTAAAATTCTAGCCATCCCAAACCCCGACCACCATCCCCTCCTGGAATGATTACTTTTATAGCCTATCCTGGCTCTTCACACCTTTTCTCCTGCTGCAAGGAGAAACAACAAGAGTTCAGGCTTCAACAAGCCTGAAATTTCCATCCCAAACCCCGACCACCATCCCCTCATGGAATGATAACTTTTATAGCGGCTTAAGCCTATCCTGGCTCTTCACACCTTTTCTCCTTCTGCAAGGAGAAACAACAAGAGGCCTCAACAAGCCTGAAATTTCTACCGGAGAAGAAAATCAAACCCTCATGGAATGATAACTTTTATAGCGGCTTAAGCCTATCCTGGCTCTTCACACCTTTTCTCCTTCTGCAAGGAGAAACAACAAGAGGCCTCAACAAGCCTGAAATTTCTACCGGAGAAGAAAATCAAAAATTCTAGCCATCCCAAACCCCGACCACCATCCCCTCCTGGAATGATTACTTTTATAGCCCATCCTTGCTCTGAACTTCACACCTGAAATGATTGGTCAACCACCCCCAGCCAATCAGAGTTCAGCAATGTTTTTTTTGGCTTGCTGATGCCTGAACTCTTGTTGTTTCTGCTTGCGGAAGGAGAAACAAGCCGGAAATTTCTATCGGAGAAGAAAATCTAAAATTCATTTCACACTTGCCACGTGATCGTTGCCACGGTTTGAGCCAATCAGAGCGCTCACAGGCTGGGCATGAATCTCTGATCATGCCCTGCCATTCAGGTTGTAGGGCTTGAGGAGAACATGAATGATCACGTGATGGAGGGAGAGACTTACCTGATCGAGGTGGAACAAGAGAAAAAGAAAAAGCCTGACATCCATGTCTGATACATGCGGTGGCATTGAGGCCCTTGACCAATCAGCACGTCCCGAGAGCGTGTGGAGGTGAAACTGAACACGCCGGCATGAAGGTATAAAAGGAAGAAACCTCTAGGGGTGGTGGTCGGGGACGTGGAGGACTCAGCTTCTGAGTTTCAGGTCGGTACGCTCGAGGGCTTTGTTGATTCAGGCCCTCGAGCGGCCCGCGGCCTTCTCTCGGGCTTTGTTGATTCAGGCCCTCGAGCGGCCCGCGGCCTTTGGCCTTGGGCCGCTCTCGGGCCTGAATCAACAAAGCCCTCGAGCGTACCGACCTGAAACTTCCCCTTGCTTGAGATGAAACTTCACCTTGCTTGAGATGAAACTTCACCTTGCTTGAGATGAAACTTCACTTTGCTTCAGATGTAACTTCACCTTGCTTGACATGAAACTTCAGAACGAAACTTCAGAACGAAACTTCAGCCGTACCGTGCACGGAGCTTACTTCAGAACGAAACTTCAGCCGGAGCGCACGGAGGTGGAACTTCAGCTTGTGAGTTTCTGCCATTGTTGTGCAACGAGTGCCATAAAGGACTTGAGAAGTTGGGCAGGCAGGCACTCGGTGTTTCTAGTTGATGTATTTCAAGTTCGATTTATGCAGATTACTGCAGTACAGTGGCTTTGTTTGCGCTGCTAGCATGCTGCGGGTGCGCTGAACTGACTGTAGTGTAGGTGCACTTGCACGTTCTGCTGAGGAGAGCGTTCTGGCTTTCGCTTGTGCTGTCGTGCGTGGGTGGCAGTGTGAAACACAATCAGACATGGATGTCAGGGCAGGTATCGTTGATTCCGGCATTCGAGCGGCCCGCGGCCTTCGGCCTTGGGCCTGAATCAACGATACTGCCCTGACATCCATGTCTGATTCTATACTTATGTTTCATGTTTCATGACAGCCTATTTCGAAAGCTGAAGAAAAAGATGGCTGGTTTAAAGCATATAGGCACACCTGCTTGCCTTAAAGTGACAAATCAAACAATTGTCCCAAATGAAATTACCTCTTCATTCCTTGTATTCAACAATATTTGAGATTTTGTTTGTTGCAATTTAAAAAACCAACAACATACATGTACATGGGAATTTTTTAAAGGATTTTTAAAAGTGAAAACTGGTCCAACAAAACATAAACACAATGCAAACATGGATTTCATGAAGTTCATATTTTACTCACAGCCCAGCTGGAGGGTGGGATAAAACAACAGATGCGGGGATTGTATCATTCAGGCCGGCTGGAGAGAGAGGGTGAGGGTGGGGGTGGCTGGGATTTGCTGCAGCATGTTCCAGGTACATGTATATGTACAGAGGTATGTACAGTGTAACGTGTATTGAGCCCGGCCAGCTGGAGAGGAGGCAAGTGCCCGAGTGGGCAGGTTATGCAACTAGTCTCTTTCACAGATACATTGCTGTATCTGCTAGTCCGGGTATGTACAGTGTGTTCATAATACTAAGGGATTAGGACTAAGTTAGAGTTCAGCTAGAGCAGGAAGAGGAGAGCAACCTACCGGCAACCTACCAGTTGTGGCAGTGGCAATAGTCCAGCACTAAATGTCACACTGTGTGCATCCAGATGAGTACAGGCGAGCCGTCAGACAAAGCCAGGTTCCACGTCAGTGTGACAAGAACACGCCTCGTAGCTGTATCACTGTTCAAGACGACTTGTGGAGTGGATTCAGGCGAGACGTCAGATAAGCCAGACTCCACTTCAATATGACAAACATTGACACAGCTACGAGGTGTGTTCTTGTCATATTGAAGTGGGGTCTGTGTTTAAGGCGACTTGTGCAGTGGATTCAGGCGAGACGTCAGAAACGCCAGACCCCACTTCAATGTGACGAGAACAAGCCTCATAGCTTTAGTCCAATGTTCCTCAGTGTTAAACTGAAACCTGGACATAGACCAAAGTCAGCAGCAACCCCACCACCAACAGCAGCAGGAGCAGCAGCAGATGAGACCAAAATTAAACTAAATTGAATTCCCTGCGAGGTAAGTTAATCAGCGGATACGGATAGTGTTATTCTGGCAACTCA